TAGGAGCGGCAGATGTGACAGAAAGGCTTTGAAGCACCGTTTACCATCAGGGGCTGAAAAAAATAGCTGACAGTGAGATGAGACAACAAGATGCAGGTAGCTACATGTAGTATCACTCATATAAGTAATCATTACAACCTGTCGTCTCAGCGAGCGATCAAAAGGGTTTGAATGCTTTCTGGCACTTACTTGCTGCTGCTGGAGTACATAGGAGGACTGTGCCAGTTAACATTCTACCATCAAGTCAGTCTAAAAGGGTCCCAAACTCTGATCACTGTTGAAGGGTTGACACAGTTAGAAATTCTAAGTTTACAAGCTAAACTGCATGACATGGCACAATGTGAGGGCTGTTTGCCATATGACAACATCATTGACTTTGCATCCAGAAAATGTAGAAAAGCTCAATTCTACAATAAAGTCTTCTTCATCAAAGACTTAATTAAGTACACAAATATAACTGAAGAAGCACTAGATCAAAATTATGATTAACAGCAGATACTTGTAAAGGGAATTAAGAGATGTGTGTTCAAGTTTAAGTTGTTAGAGGACTCAGATATGCAGATTACATTGCGGGGGTGTTGCCATAGGAGCAAGCCAAGCTTTGCTCAAGGCCCAAGTATGGCTAGGAGTGGCTTTGGTTTTAATTATTAGAATATCATTCATATCATAGCTAATTTATCTTTGTTGGAAAACCAGTATTGAGAATTAGTCATCGCACCACACCACCAAACAAGTAAAGCTTTTGATCTATCTGTTAAAGCGTTTACTTTTTACTTTTATACACTTGAGTATTTCCAAATGTAGATACTTTTTATTTTCACTAACTACACTGATTATCAGGATCTGACGTGTTCAATGAAGGGCTGGCCAAAAACCAAAACCAAAACCAAAATCTCATACCCAAAAAGCAGAATTGGGTAGCTTTGTACAGTCATGCTGTTATTGAGTCTTGTTCCAACATTAGTCCAGCTGGACACAAATGAACACTGTATAAGTTAGTCCATGACAAATACTAGCAAGTAAGCAAAGCACAATATTTTGATCTCAAATGTTTTTAATTTAAATTTTTTTACATATTAAAATGGGTAAAAGTATTAGAACTACTTAAAAACGTCCATACTGACAAAACATATATGAGGTCATTGAAAGGAAAACAACAGACCATTAGATTACAGGCAAACTTACTCTCTGACATGTTTTACCAAGAAGAATATTCATCAGGAAGTCTTTATTAACACATAAATGTCTGTCTATGAAACATGCATTTAATTAATATGCTCTTTTATATTAAATTAAATAAGCTATACATTACAGCATGTAGACTATACATTATAGTCTACGTGCTGTAGATAGATAGATAGATAGATAGATAGATAGATAGATAGATAGATAGATAGATAGATAAATGAAGGTTCGACTGCAGTGCATCAGGTTGATCTATGAGTAAGACTTCAGCTGATGTCACAACATTGAATTTTTAAATCGGAAAGATATAGCGCCATACTGCATGAGAAAACTTTGACCCTTGCCTTGAACAAGAATGTTTGGTATGTAATCTGCATTGCTAAGGGTAGCGTTGTGTGTGTGTGTGTGTGTGTGTGTGTGTGTGTGTGTGTGTGTGTGTGTGTGCGTATGGGGGTGTGTGTTAAGAGGTGATCCTTATGTGCTTTGGTGGTGCGTCACTACATTTCGATGACTGACAGTCAGATGTGAAACAGGGCAGATGATAAAAGCAATGAGCTTCAGCAATCCAGATCTCAGATACATGTCAAATTAACCTCTGACCACAGTGTGCACGGCATATTGTGGTAACCCTTTATTTTAAGGTCTGCTTCTGAACTATTACTTATCTACTAGCAAGTGATTAATAATGCCCTAGTAAATAGTAATATATCATTGCAAGCTTTAGAATGTGATATAAATGCATTTATAAGATGTGTTACTAAGGTTGTCTGGAATTCTATAACGTGTGACCAATTGTTTCCAGATACTCTATGTACAAGCGATCATGTAAGCATGATTCTACACGAAAATAATGCATTAAATGTCCATAGAAAGCTGTGTAGGATGTGGCTAAAACAAAAAAGGTTTTAAAATTGGCATATTTTACCATTATTTTGGGTGTAGAGTTCATCATTTCAGTCTATGCAGTGAACTACATAGGGAGTTTGGAGCCCCTTCAGACTGACTCGATGGTGGAACGTTAGCTAGCATAGTCCTCCTGCCCTGTTAAAAATGATTTAATCTTTTAAGTTAAAAAAGTCGGAAACCTGGTTGCCTTAAAATTTTGAGTTTATTATACTTCAAATAATAGATTAACATAATATAAAACACATTGTTCTGTTAACTTACTATTAGAAGTTCAGTGAACTCAAAATTTCAAGACAACCAAGTTTCTTACTTTTTAAGTTAAAACACAGAACCATTTTTAACAGTGCAGGAGGACTGTGCTAGCTAACTTTCCACCACTGAGTCAATGTGAAAGGGTCCCAAATTCCCTATCTAGTGCACTACATAGACTGAAATGATGAACACTACACCCCCAAATAAAACCATTAGAGTTTTAGCTATATCCTGCACAGTTTTCCATAGATATTTAATGCATTATTTGTGTGTAGAAGTCATACGTATGTGATTTAAGTAGTGCCATATAAAGACAGGGTATGCCACTTTACCTGAAAATACAAACATACATCATCTAGAAGATGAAGAGTATTTAAATCCTTTATTTCGTCAAGCATGTAGTCGGTTTCAGCGTCACTCCAAAAGTGTTTTGCTGCCGTCTTGCTGCAGCGCTACTTGCTTATTTCCAGTACCACAGTCTGTGTTCGCACATGCGCAGACAGAAAAATTTAGAAAGAAATCAGAGTAAGAGTTTACATGCACTAAGAAATCTGATTACTGAGCTAAAATCCAGCTCTCTTTATCAGATTTCTTAATAATTTTTCCAGACCTCACTCTGATCTAAGAAATTAGAGTGTGCTGCTTACATGACCATTTGAATAATTAATTAACTGCAGAAATCCGATTATGATAGGATTATTATGTGCATGTAAACACACTCACTGTTAAATGGTTAGAAATTGTGAGTTTACAAGCTGAACTTCATGACATGGCACAATGTGGTAGCTGGTTGTGTTATGACAACATCATTGACAGTTTTGAAAGGTTTCTTCATCAATAATTTAATAAAGTATGTAAATATAATAGAAATACATAAATATAATAGAAGAACCACTGGGTTAACATTATGATTAACAGCAGATAATTGTAAAGGAAATTAAGAGATGTGTGTGAACGTTTAATATTATGTTTGTAGAGGATGCAGATATGTAGATTATGTGGGAGGTGGCATAGGAACAAGCCAAGCTTTGCTCAAGGCCCCAGTACAGCTAGGAGTGGCTCTGATTTTTCTTATTAGAAAATTATTCATATTATAGCTAATTTGTCTTTGTTGGAAAACCAGTATTGCAGATTAGTCACTGCACCACACCACCACACAAAGAAAACTTGCAATTTATCTGTTAAAGCGTTTACTTTTTACTTTTATATACATGAGTATTTCCAAATGGAAATACTTTTTTATTTTCACTAAGGTATATTTGGATTTTCTCCATATGTCAGTAAGAGTTTTACACAATACTCATAATTTACTAAGGTACAGTTTCATAACAGTTTCACTGTCAGGCCCAGTTAGGATGACTTCCATCAGGCTGTATGTCAGAACTTTGGATAGAAATTACTCAATTGGCCTCCAGAGACAAAACGCTTTAAGACTACTGATTTTAACATCTATGTATCTGTCTATAAAACATGCATTTTACTAATATGCTCTTTCATAATTAATTAAATAAACCATACATCAGTACATAGCCTACATACTGTACATAGATATATATAGATTTATATACTAGATAGATAGATAGATAGATAGATGGAGGTTCCACTGCAGTACATCAGGTTGATCTACGAGGACTTCAGCTGATCTCACAACATTTAATTCATATCTTAAATTTTAAATTAAATTGACTCTAATTATCTAAAAACATCTTTTTTTTCAAACCGGAAAGATATAGCGCAATACTACATGAGAAAACTTTGACCCTTGTCTTGAACAAGAATGTGCGGTATGTAAACTGCGTTGCTAAGGGTAACATTGTGTGTGTGGGGGTTGGGGCGGGGGGGGGTGTTGGGAGGGTGTCCTTTGGTGGTGCGTCACTGCATTTTGATGACTGACAGTCAGCAAGCCAGATGTGAAACAGGGCAGAGAGCCTGAGGTAAGACAGGGACACAAACCTGTTCTTGAATATGACTTTTAGTGCTCTTATTAAACCTGCATACCAAACCACTCTGTGGTTAAGAGGAGAAGGGAGAGGTAAAAGTAAATACTGGACACTGTTTCCCAATCCTGCTCCTACATTTACACAGATCCTACATGAGTTTCATGTGATCACAAGCAGTTATATCTGTTATATTCTGATTAAAATAATTCAAAATAAAAGTTCATATGATAAAAGCGACGTGCTTCAGCAAACCAGATCTCAGATAGATGTGAAATTAACCTCTGGCCTTTTACAGTTTTACAGTGTGCACAGCATGTGATATTTACTAGGGCTCTATTGGTTATTTGCTAAAATTGCTGACCTTGAAATAAAGTGCTACACATGAGTTATAGTATTTCTAATCTGCTTCTCCTGTTTTAACTTCTCAGCCAACCACTTTAAGAGGTGAACATGCATGATTCTTAGCAGGGAAACACAACCATGTGCAGCACAGAAGGACAATGGGAGGAGTTTTGTGAAACAAGTGGGGAGAAGCATTGATTTCAGTTGTGAAATCTGCCCTCACCCTTTTCGAGGCATGGCTGCAACCCGAGCCCACCCACAGAGCAGCTACTGGCAGAACTATGAGCAAAACTGTGAAGGCGGATCTTTCGGTTGCGATGTGCAATTGGGGGCGTTACTGCATTTGGGTGTTTCTGTACGACACACCCTCATGTCCTCATGTAGATGTTTGGTGTGGTTTATAAAGCATTCAGACAGTGAGCGTGTCGGTAGCCGATGCTTTTGTCTTGTTTTTGATTCTCAAGGTATTTTCTACTCCATTTCAGATGGTCTTGTTGAAATAGATTTCTGAACAACACCAAAGGCAGTAAGTAAAATCCACTTTTATTTGATTTATTGTGCAAATGTTGGGCTATTACTGCCATTTTCACTCTAATTATCAAATTATTTTCTATGCAGAAACATTATTTTAGCCAACCATGGGTTATTTCACTCATAGTTTTAGAACTGCACAGTGCTTTAACGTGAGGGTTAAGAAAGTTAAGGTTCTTCCTTCCCTTTCTGTGGCCATTTGGCTGGCCTTAGGTCATCCTATAGCCAGGGTTCAATGCTGTTGTGCAGAAGTGTGAAATACAGTGCAATCATGGCATTCTTTAACTTTTTAAACCATCTGTCTCTTTTCAGTGCACTTTTGAATCAGAGGACGCGGTGTTTATTGACCAAAAATGACTGCTGCCAAGTAAGTCCTAGATAAGTCACCCCGGGCATGTTAAAGCAATGCAAAGTTCCATCTGCTCCAACATTCCTGATCCAACTCATCACTTCATTAAGTTGTACTCAGACATGTTAGAACAGGGAAATTGATAAACTGTACACAAAGCTTCTTAGTTACCAGCTTCTTACTGGAATTTCCCTTCCCACTTTGAATGATGCAGGAGTTACTTTTTGGCACATGGAAAGGTGATATAAAAGTAATGTAACTGCTGCACCATTCAAAGTACAACAGAAAGTTCAAATAAAAAGCTGGCGAATTAGGTTTTCAGTACTGCACAGACTACTTTTCAAGAACATTTAAGTGTTTAAAGCACTAGTTTGGTGAAAAAATAATCAATCTTGCGCACCCTTCTCCTAACCCCAAGTGTACTCAATACGCTTTTTAGTTCTTTTGTTTTGCAAAGGGTAATGTAACAACAAGTGCTGGAAATTTAAACCTCATCTGGTTAGCACTTTGCTAACTGCATGCATGAATCATCACTTACCTCAAACTGTGTTGAGTTGTTACGTAACCTCAAATAGACTCGCTTATGAGGTTTCCGATGCTGTATGATGAACTGTTCTCTAATTAGGCCTAAATGTGGCTGCTATTACTGTTTTTTTGCTATGTGACATAATTTTATCCATGTCATACAGAATATGTGGTGCTAATTGGTATTGTATTAGCTTCCATTGCTTATTAGCTACATTAGCCTCCTGTGAAATACTATAGGAATAGCAAAGGACACCAAACACATCTTAATTCATCACCTACATTTGGAGTTAGGGGAAAAATTATGTAAATTTTGCTAAATTATCCCTTGATAAAACACTTTACCAGCTATTATCATGACTATCCATAGTATCCGATGGTTCAGGGCCTAACTGCTCCATCATCTGTTTCTTCCCACCAGAGTGATGCCTGTGGACCTAACCATGCATATGGGGCTGAGCCGGCGGGCTGCTGTACGCCAACGTTCAGACATCTCGCTTAGATATCAACACACAATCCCAAGGTCCAGCACACCTACAGACAACTCCCATCCATCTGGAGCTGCTTCACCACCCCAGCTTTCTCTAACTCCTGTCATTCCAATGAACTCTGCTAGCAGTGGTGGGACACTGAAAAAGAAAAAGCGTGTTGTATTTGCAGACGCTAAGGGACTGGCTCTTACAGCCGTGAGGCTTTTCACTGTGGATCCGCCAGAGCCTGAACCTGATACCATCCCTCAATCAGAAAAGCCGAAAGACCAGCCCCCTGTCCAGGGCAGGATTCTGCGGCTACGGCTTGGGTTCCCTCAACCTTCTGCTGATCTACAGTCATTTCTTGGAGGCTTGGCAGGTTCTCTGGTGCAGCTGGAAAGCTGCAGTCTGATGGGTGGTTTGCTGAGTGGAATGGTGCGGGTCTGCAACATTAGCCTAGAGAAGGCCGTACACATTCGCATCACGTTTGACTCCTGGAGAACCCACAAGGACATCCCTTGCACCCACGTAAAACAGCAGCCTGGCTCAGAGACTGACCTTTTTGTCTTTCAGTGTGTCTTTTCCTTCTGACCTGAACCTTCAGGATCGTGTGGAGTTCTGTGTGTCGTTCCGTCCCGGAAGTGGCAGCACACTTCTGTGGGACAACAATAGTGGACAGAACTATAGAATCTTTGTTGACGTTGTGGACCCTGAGGATGTCCCTTTGGCTTGGAGCAGACCCTTCATGACACAAAGCCCTAAGAGGCCCAAAGCTTGGCCCAAAAGACAAAGTCAAATTGTCCATTACCCAGCATGCTTCAAGCCACGTTCTCCAAATAATATGACCCTTCCGCCCATGTGTAGGCAAGAGAACATCATGCCATTGTGTTGAAGTAGGAGGCTAGGTCACCCCAAAATTCTAACATGGCTAACAATGAAGGGAAACCAATGAGAGCCAATTAGCATGACACCATTAGAGTAATGCAAGCTGGCCTCTTCTAATCTTCATTATTAGCAATGTTATTATTTTTACATGAAGTATTCCTTTAGAGAGAGTGAACTGGGCCAAAAGTCTCTCTTTAGAGCAATGCCATAGAAGAACCACTTTCGGGTCCCTACAGAACCTTTCAATTGATGGTTCTTTAAAGAAACATTTTTGTTAAATTTGAGTGTGAAGAATGTTTTGAGGGGTTAAATGCTTGCAAAATGGTTGCAAGTACTGCCACCCCAGTCAAGAACTATTTTACTAGTTCAGCCCATGCCTTGGTCATAGGTAGGTAGAAACGCAAGGTAGAAATGGAAATTTATAGGATATTAGATCGGAAGGACAAAGAACTTTAGGCACAGTCCTCCTCCTAAACTTTAGTTATTCCAAAACTTCATTTAAGTCCCTGTTTTGTTTTGTTTTGTTTTGTTTTGTCTGTACTACAGTATGCCTGATTGAATTAGTAGTGGATTTGAGGTTTCTTAGGAGTAGGGGCCCCAACCTCTGTTCCCAGGGGGCTGGTGTCCAGCAGAGTTTGGTGTTCAAGCAAACTACCAAACCTTGTAATTATCTGATGAGTTTGAGCTGGATTACAGCCCTCTAGGACCAAAGTTTAAGACCCTTGACCTAATACAGTGGTTCAAATCAGTCCTCAGGGACCCCAACACATGGAGATAAAGCCAAAAATGTGGACCGTCCAGGGGCCCCTGGGGACTAGTCTGCAAATCAGTGCCCTAGAGCATGTATTTCAATTCCAGTGCAGTCAACTATTTGTGATTCCATTTGCTAATAAAACATCAGCATCTACAGCAGCCAGGTCAGCAAATTTCCTGTTATGAGATTATTCAGGTTCAACTGGGACCTATCGGAGACCCGTCTTACTTTTAATGAATGTTGCTACAAATGTGAAAATGTACAATATGTAAAACTATATAATATGTGAAATTTGTAAAATATGTAATATTGTAAAAATGCCTTATTTATTTGTGCCTACACGATGATGTGAAATGATTCCAATGTCAAATAAACAAGCATTCAAGCATGACAGTGGGTTTCTTTTTTTTTAATGGTACCAGAACAGCATGTCACTGTTTTGTACTCTTCCACAAGAACTCTATCATATGACGTCTGGTGTGTAAACCGAGCCGCTGAAGTTGTCAGGCATGAGAACAGTTCTAAAAGTTGTGGGACATGTTGTTCCCTGTCTGAGGGTAACACACCCAAACATTGCACTTTGAGTTTCTCAAATGCCCTGAATTGTTACCTGCCTGAGGCGTGTTCACATCCTAATACTGCACTTTGAAACATATCTTTGCCCTAAGTTACCTTTGCACTTGAACAAGCAAGAATACAACACATCTCTTAGATTATGAATACTCTCATTTTCATCCTAGTCAGTCACTCGGAAAAAGAGTCTCTGCCAAATGACTGAATATAAAATGTTATTTTAGGTTTTAGAGAAGGCTGTCCTTGATCTCTAACATCTGCATCCCTGAATATAGATCCCTATAGTCATTTGCAAAAGTTTTAGCACCCTGATAAATATTTTGTGAAAAAGTTAACACGTCCTCTACGCACCTCTGCACATTTATTGTAAATTTACTGAATTGAGGGAAAAAATAAAACACAATTTGGCCTGTGCAAAAGCTATGGCACTTTTTAAGTATTACTATGTATTATTATTTTCCCCAGTGTGTTAAACTCAGCAAATTTTGGTGTGTACTCTTTTAAAGTTGTGTTAACTTATTTTCATGAAATGTCAGTGACTGGGGTGCCCAAACTTTTGCAACATTTGCTGGTTTAACTGGGTTAGGTCTACTGGATGAGAAGTACCCTAATTTGAAACCATTACTTTTTAATTAAATAAGGACAAATGCTTGCATAAAGCAGCAATGTGCTAATCCAATGTAAATATTTATATATATTTATATAGTATATTTATCTTTAACACTCATCTTCAGTTTCAACAAAGTGTTCTCCTTGGCATACAGAGCAAGTTTTGCCTAAATAATGTTCTCTCTTCCATATTATTGTTAAAAGCACAGGCTCCCAAGTGGTGCAAAACGTTGACCCTACCTTCAGGAGAGAACACACTTGATCCCTGGTGACACCACATGTTCATTCATGATCTGCACTCATGTATTAGTATTCATTGTGTTTGCCCAACATCATGAGCACTAAAGCTATGCTTTGCTCTTGTGTCTGGTTTAAAAATTCAAATTACATCTATTAGCTGACCTAACTGAATTAGCAATAAGAGCTCTCCTTAAAGTGTGTTGAGCTGTACAATGGTGTTGTGTTAGTAGCAGTTGGAAAAGATGTAGTGGTGCTTCATGTATCTTGGAGAAAGCTTGTGCTCACCCTCCTAGATGATCGTTGATAGAGGGAAGCCTAGCTAACAGTTGGAATTGGTCATGACTAAACTGGAGAGAACACACTAGACTTGACTGTTCAGATCTTCTTGAAGGCATCAATTATCTAGGTGTGTTAGATCAGGGTTGGAACCAAAGTTATGCAGGACATAGATTTTCAGGAGTCAGGGCAACCAGATCACTGTGTAGCATTGTTTAATGCTTTATCTGATTTACCAAATCTGGCTTGGATAGTCATGCTTTTCATGAGCAGAAACCGTGAACATTTCTGCATTTTTGCATTTCCTGTTTTGTTATAACAAACAAAAACATGAGCCAATGCATAATGAATACCCACAGCTGTAGAGAACAGCATTAATTATCTCATACCAATGGTGTACTTTAAAGTCTGGGATATATTAGATGGCAAGCAAAGAGCCAGATCTCATAGTCGACATGTTGAATGTTGGAGAAATCCAAGCTAAGCCCTGATTATCATTAAAAGTACCTACAATGGACATGTGAGCATCAGAACTGGACTTTGGAGCTATAGAAGAAAGTTGCCTGGTCTGATAAGTCCCATTTTCTTTTACATCATATGGACAGCTAGGAAAGTGTGCACCATTTACCCGGGTAAGTGATGGCACCAGGATGCACTGCGGGAAGAAGACAAGTTGGTAGAGGGAGTGTGATGCTCTGGGCAATGTTCTGCTGGGAAACCCTGGGTCAATTTGACACATGCCACCTACATAAACATCGTTGTGGGCCAGCAACTCTCCTTCATGGCAATGGTATTCTTTCAGGAATTCTATTCAGGAATGGTTTGAGGAGCATGATAAAGAGTTCAAGGTGTTCCACAGATCTCAATTCAAGCATCTGTGGGATGGGCCGGACCAAGAAGTCGAATCTATGCCTGCTCCACCCTACAACTTCCAGGACTGCTGCCAACAACTTTGTGTCAGATACCACAGGACACTTTCAGAGGTCTTGAAGAGTCCATGCCATGTGGAGGACCAACAGCATATTAGGCAGGTGGTCATAATGCCATATTCATATGCAACAATTTTAGAAATAGTGAGTTTTTGAAAAAAAAAAACAACAACTTTTTTTCTGCCATATCATGAAGAGATGTTTGGAAATTTGGCAGACATAAAATCACTACTTATTGTATTAATGTTATTTGTATTTGTTCTGATATTATTGTTGAGCAAATAAACTGACTGCCTAGATAAACATCTTACATTATAGGAAAAATAAATTTCTCAAGTGCACAGTACTGTATATATTAAAACTCTTTTGACTAAAAAGTGGTTTAAGAGTGCTGACATCACAACAAGGAGATAACATGTATGGCCTTTGACAAATATTCCTGCTTGTGATATTGCTTTAATACATATAAACCTGCTCAGTCTTTAACATGTTAAGTTTTTGCAAAACAACAAAGAAAACTATTTTTGGAAAAGCTACATGTCCTAAAGCAGCGGTTGGCAACCCAAATGTTAAGAAAAACTATTTTATGCTTTTAGCAAAAATCAAACCACATTGGGAGCCACAATGTATTATGTCTATTTTACCATTTTGTCTGTAAATATGTCTCAGTATGTGCTAATGTACTAGTATAGGCTAATAATATAATATTAATCAAAATGCATTCTACTTTTGTGGAAATTTTCCAGTTCCACCATAAATGGTGCCTGAGGTACCAGAATGTAACTGCTGCACCATTTAAGGTGAAAGGGGAGCAAGAAGCTGGCAAATGAGAAACTGACTTAAGCTTCACAACTCTTTAGTGTTTGACAGTTTCTCGCTGCAGATTAAACATATCAGGAAACCAGCTGGAGTGATTATAAATGCAAATAATTCCACATGTCTCTAAATTATCGGTGTTCATCTTAAATCTTAAATCTGCCGTTAGCTACTTGCTAGCAAGACTGTCATCTGCATTGCTATGAACCTGCAGTCTGTGTGCGAACCTTCAGGGTTAAAGGGTGAATTAGCAGTTCTACACTAACTCCAGCATTTAAGACCATTTATTGTTAGAACCGTGTCAGAAGAATTAGCAGAGCTTTATTTTACTGCAAAGGAGGATTAAATCATTTTCACCAACAAATCTAATTCTGCTGTGGAGCCACAACAGGGCAGTAAAAGAGCTGCATGATGCTGACCACTGTCCTAAACTTTTTAAAAACAGTGCATTTTGTGAGCTAAAAGTTTTCCAGGTACAGGCCTTGAATCATCGTCCCCTAAGACATCTTTTAATACCACTAATGGCTTGACAATTAGTTTCTAAGTGTGCTCTAGTCTGGAAAACTTTGTGGCTCTTCAGGACTTTAGCTTTTGCCCAAAGCTTATCCATTACTTCTATTTTAGGAAATCTAATAGAGGAAGAGAAGTATAGCACTCCTGCTGACTAAAACTACCATTATTTAGCTCTTTCATTCCATGATTCATCTTGATTTCACAATACTGTAGGTGTATCAGATCTTTTATAGGGGTGCCCAACCCTGATCTACCTTTCAGCTGAATTCGATTGCAACTCTAATCCAACACACTAGACATGACCGTTCAGATCCTTTTGAAGGCATTGATTAGCTGTATCAGGTGTGTTAGATTAGGGTTTGAACCAAAGTTATGCAGGACGTAGATCTCCAGGAGTCAGGGCTTGGCAGCCTGAGTCACACCATGGTGCCGGGGTGTTAAAATCTAATTCTGGAGAACCAGTCCACTGTGTAGCATTGTTTACTGCTTTATCTGATTTACCACATTAGGCTCGGCTAGTCAGGCTTTTCATGAGCAGAAACCTTGAACATTTCTGCATTTCTTGGTTTGTTATATCAACAATCTTGTTATCAACAAAACATGATAGTCTTTTAAAATGGAGCTGTTTTAAAGCAAATCCAGGAAAAAAAAAAACATCTTGATTCTTTTAACATACCTAAATGTATGAATGGACTCCTTAATTAACCATTTTTAAATGAGATGTATAAATGTGAAGAATATTATTAAAGTTTAATCATTTTTTTACATAATATAAAGGTTCTATACACTGTTGAAGTTCTTTAACGAGTCATGGCTTGGATGCAAGGACACAGTGCTAACAGTGCCTCCTTACGGAGAATCATCAGTGAGTACATGAGTAAGCCAAGTCTTTTCATCTTATGTAAGACGTCTTTAAACATTTCATACTTGCTTTTTAAACAACCAAAAGAGTTTATTCTATGGTGCAGCTCAAAAGAAATCTCTTTTGAAGAGTGTTTTTTCTAATTTATCTAGTTTTTAGCATAACATCATTGTCAGAACAAAACCACATATCTCAAAATTGGTAATCTTACGCTTTTATCCAGCTAATTTTGGAGCTAATATTGGTGTATCAATCATGAAACCTTAACACAAAGCAAAGGGTAACTAGACTTTTCAAATTATGGAAATAAATAAATAAATAAATAAATGAAAATGACAAAAAAGAGAAAACAAGTTTTTGTGCAAAATTAAGCATAACAATGACATGATTTGCGTTATTAAGAATATTCACCATCTTTTCAAAGATGACCAACCATAAAGGAAGTCAAGTCATTATGAAAACCAGTAATAATGAAACATAGTGTTTAGCATTTAAGCACTAAAGTGCAGTTAGGTAAACCACTGAACTATTATGTCCCAACCCTTCAGGGGAATGCCCCACAGATGGTTCATG